TCATTTTATGGATACGTTGTTCTATGACTGCCCAACAGTCCTTCCCATCAAGCACGGCTGATCTTACAATCATCTTATAGAACTTCACCTTCAGTTTCATATGCCACTATCTAGATGATTGTTTTATTCCATAATTGGACTTGGCATGTTTACAAACTTTTTGTTCTCATAACCCTTTGGTTGCTCAAGATCTCTTCCTCCATATTACCTTTAAGGAATGCCGTGTTACCGTTCATTTGGCGAATTTCAAAGTCAAATGTGCTTCTATGGAAAGTGTGAGGCGAATTGAGGCCATTTCATTGCTGGGGAGAATCTCTCATCATAGTCCACTCTCTTGACCTGGGTGAAGCCTTTTGCCACCAATCGGGCTTGTACTTGTCTATAGTTCCATCAGCCTTTATTTTAATTTTCAAGACCCGCTTGTTCCTGATTGCCTTTCTATATGGGGGATGATCCATGAGTTCCCAGACTTGGTTCTTCTTCATGGAACTAATCTCTTTGTCTATTGGAGGCAATTCACTTGCCTGCATCTAGGAATCTTGATGCTTCCTGATATGACCATGGTTCACCTTCATCAATGGAGATGCAGGTCAGACTTTTTTTTTTTGGGAAACTGGTTAATTGACGCAGGTTTGACTTCCCCTTCAATCTTAACATGTCTTTGGGGAACTCTACCACATACATTCCTACAAAGTTTGGGAATGAATAGTGGTTCACTACCATTGTCCCCAATTACTATGGGTATACTCCCAGTGTCATCTGCTAGTGGATGAATTTCTGCACCACTTTCTGTATGAGTATCGGCCGTTTCATGTAGGTCTAGTGTCATTCTAGACCCTTTGTCTACTAGGGAACTTTTTGAGTTCTTAGGATATCTAATGAAAATGTACTCAATAGTACGCTAGTTAGCTGAGCTTGTATAATTTCAAACCCCGCAAACCCCCATGGACGCAAATGTGATAAATCAGGCTTTCTACCATTCTATAACTTATAAAGGTTTGGGGCACAAATTTTGAAGGCACCCTATTCAAGATGGACACAACAGTAAAAAAGCCTCTCCCTAAAAAGTCAAAGGGAGATTTGCCTGTTCCATCATTCCAATGGTTAGTTTTCTCTGCAACACTATTTTGTTGTGGAGTGTAGGTAGGACATTGTTTGTTGCCGACAAATCCCATGATCGTCACAGAACTTTCTAAATAGCTTAGAGGTATACTTACGCCTCCTATCATTTCAGAGTATCTTAATTCTCTTCCTTGATTGGTTCTCAATTTCTTTGAAATCTCTTTAAGTAATCAATTGCGTGATATTTATGTGAAATTAATTACATGAGCATATCATGACTAGTCATCAAAGAAACTGATGGGATACTGGGATTTGTTGAGGGCCTTCACATTGAAGGGACCACAAATGTCTGTTTGGATGATTTCTAAAGGTTTTTTTGATCTTTGAGCTTTATGGAATGGTTTTCTAGTTAATTTTCAATTAAATATGGTTCACAGGTGGGTAAATTTACTTTGGTTAATGACCCTAAAAGCTTTTCTTTAATTAATCTTGTCATCTTATCTTTACTAATGTCATCCATTCTTGCATGCCATAACATAGAATTAGAATCTTCATCATGCAAAATAGAAAAAGAAAGAGGGGATGTATTATTGAGAAAAGAGGGGGAATGACAAATGACATCTTCTAAATCCAAAGTAAACGAACTATCATGAAGAAAACCACAAAAAATAGAACCATCTTTGAGTTTAATTTGGGCTCTATTGTCTAATAATGAAATTAAATGTCCTTTTGAAAAGAGTTTGGGTATTGAAAGCAGGTTCCTCATCTTAGGAGTGTAGAGCACATCATGGAGAAACATGGTCCGACCAAATCGAAACTATAAACTATAGGTCTCCATGACCACAACATATTCGACGGTGTTATCTCCAATGAAAATTGTCACGCTTCTAACTGGAACTCGATGAAGCTCCACGAACCCGCTTTTATCGCTCATTATGTGTTTTGTTACTCCTGAATCCACAATCCAACCATTAGGTACTGATGAGCAACTAGCACCTTTGTGCATACCCTAGCAAAATCAATAGAATGATTGGCTCGTACAATCTTTGGCACCATGCACTCATGAGTGAAGTGGCCAGTCTTCTTACAGTTGAAGCAAGTTAAGCTTGATTTATCTCTTGGAGCACTCTTGCCTCGCTTCTACTTGTGCTTGGGATCCTCAGCTTTCATAGCTTTCTTGGGAGGAGCTTTGCCTTTAGGCTTGTGCTTGGATTTCTCACCACCCTTGGGCTTACCTTGTTTAGCAAGGATGGTGAGGCTGTTATGACTAGCAATGCGGCATTTCACCTCAATCTCCATATGATGAGAGTAGATCTATAAAAGTCTTAACGTTTTGATCATTCTTCATCATAATCTTCATTTGGGCGGAAAGCCCTAAACAACAAAACGATATTCTCTCACTTTTAGGGTTCAAATTCTAGAGAGAGAAAGAAGGGAGAGAGAAGGCTCTGATCTTTGGTTCTATGAAACCCACCTTGGTAATATTTTCACGGTGGAGAAACCAGCCAAGGCCTTATCCTTTTTTCAGACCCCAATTTCTGAAGATAGAATGAGAAAAATTTGGAAAGGAAAAGGAAGAAGATCGGCACAAGCAAAACGAGGCCGAATGCCCATGGTGGTTTTATGAAACGACCTGGCTGGTGTTTCTTTTAGAGAGCCTGCATAGAAGGGAAAACCTAGACTACAAAATGGGCTTCTATTTTCAAATTCTAGAGAGAGAAAGAGAAAACACAAGAATTTATTTTTTATGGAGCCCTAAACCTAGAGAGAGGAAGAAGGAAGTTGGCCACCATGAGTAAGACGATGCCAAGAGGGAGGTTATATGAGAACCACACTCCAAATATTTCATGGATAGAAAAGCCAAGAAGTAAAGAAGTGGTTTCTGTCCCTTTTTTAGGGGCCAAATTTTAGAAAGAGAAAGTGAGAAGTCAGAGAATCACCATACTAACCACTAGCAGAAGGTGACGAGCTGTGCTTTCAAACCCAGCTTCCCAAAATATCTCTGGTATGGAATTATCCAGGCCCTTCTACTAAACCTACCTGCTATTAGGTTTTCTGGCGAGATTCTCGACACTAAGTTCGACGATAAATAGTTTCTCTAGAATTTCTTGTTGGACTTCGACAAAAATGCCCAGTGAATCAGTATCTGCTTTCCTCTGCAGGGTTCCACTGACAAGGGCTGTTGTTGAAGCACGGTTTCGTATTTCTGGTGGTTAAGAAGGATGTTATGGTTATTCTCGGCAATTTTTGGCAAGATAATAGTAGATGGAGAGAAAAGGGGAAAGGAAATAGGGATGACCATTTTTGTTCAAGATACTACTGTGTACTCATGTGGGGAGTTCCATGAGGGGGGGCAAAAAATACTTTATAGGGTTGATGATTATGCCAATTCCATCAGTGGTTTGTTGTGGAGTAACTTTATAATGGGGGGATAGTGTAACTTCCCGAATTTCTAACTATCCTATTGGTACATGTTGTCCCAATGCTGTGCCCTTTTTATGCTTTCTCCAGTTAATAATATTACTACATGAAACAGGAGCATATTTATTCTAGTCATGAAAGGCTTTTTCTTTTCTGTGCTAGTTTTGTAGCTTTTCAAAGACTTGTGAGCTTGCAGCCATAAGCACTTCCATCAGGCCTTTCACAACATGTACAACTCAGAGGACTGCCCATTTCCCCTTCTTTTTTTTTCCTTTCGAAACTTTTGAAGACATTTGTAGAATACTCTTCTTTCTTTTCTTTCAGCCGCGCCAATAACCCCCACCCCACTCCCCTTTTTTCTCTTTTTTTTGCCCCCCTTTAATGACCTTGGTTTTTTTAAAAGAACACCCCACGAGATGCATAATGCTCCTTTGAAGAACTTCTTTTTCCTTCCAAAAAATCTGGCTATACCCAATTTTCAACATCTAAAGTATGAGCCTTCTCTTTCTTCCTCTTTTCTTTTTTAATATTTTTATTTGGACCCATGAATTTTGAATTTTAGTGTCCCAGGTGTCCTGTACTTTGATACCATGTGAGAAAAAAATAGGTTAAGTTAGGAAGGAAGAGAGTACGCCACTTCAATGGGATATCTCTATTCTTGAACTTATAAAAAATAGTAACAAGCAACAAAAAAAGCAATGCCACTTAGTTTGAATTGGGTTTCAACAAATAAGAAAGATTGGGGAGTCAAAACCATGCCATTTTTATAATAAGTCTAGATATATGGAAAGGATCTAGAATTTTGGGGACTTAAGACCATTAGAGGGCGACTAGATGTGACACCTCTCTCAATTAAACAGCTTATCGATCAAACAACATAAAAAAATTACTAATCTAAAGAGCTAATCCCTTGGAGTTGCAATGTCAAAGGGCATGGTGGAGCTCTGACTACCTCAAGAGGTTTACAAGCAAGAGCCTATTTCCTTAATTAACAACTGATGTATTACAAGCTTCTGGGCATATCTTCCACATATAAAATTTCCTCTCTGTAGATGATATTCATGAAATTTCCAATATAATCATGAATTCAACCTTCTTAAACTTTTATGTCTTTTCCTTTCTGTACACATCCAATCACCTAGGCTAATGGGCTTACTCGAGCCTTCCTTTTCTCTTTACCAAATTGCATTAGCAAAACATATTCCCAGAGTGCTGTTATGAAATTCTGAATTGCATTTTTAATATGATAAGTGTTTGAATGAAAATGTTCTACAAATCTGAATACACATTCATGTGTATGTAAATTTTGAGTTTGTCTTGGATTTATTAATATAATTATTACTGGTGGACCTATTTACAATACTAGTAAATACTAGAGGATCTCATACACAAAGCATCGGGTATTTTACTTATGTTAAACTCAGTTAGTTGAAGGGATACATTTATCATTTTATTTGGTCTTGTTCTTGTCATGATTCATGATTTTGTTGGATTGATTTGAGGCTCCTTGTTTGCAGAGAAATTTGTTGTGCTTTCATTCAATATTCTTGCTGACTACCTCGCTAGGGATCATAGGCATAAGCTCTACTTTCACATACCTCCACATATCTTGGATTGGGAGTGGCGAAAGAGAAGAATACTTCTTGAGCTTGGACTATGGTCTCCTGACATCATGTGTCTTCAGGTATCTACTGATGTAATGCCCAATGTGAAGTTTCTTTTCCTGTAGTTTCTTGTCATTGACATACTATGCATGGTGTCCTGGCTTTTTCCTAAATGTTCCTTCTGTTGTTGATTTGATGCATTGTGCTTACGTATCTTTTTTCTATGGCTAACCATGGCTATATTCTATCTTTTATTTGTGTTGTAAGAAATCAATGAAGTGATATGTTTCCATTGGAGTTTTGATCTTCTAGGTTGATGAAAATCTCTTATTTAAGAAAATTCCTTTTCCTTAAATTGTGTTCCAAATATTGATTTGCCATAAACTGTATCCAGAATCAGTTTTGGCAGCAAGCCTATTGACATTTTACTTTTGTGGAATTAGGTCCTCTCCTATTTCTTCTGTTAGATTTCTTTTAGTTGAAATGAAAAATGGATGTCGTATGTGGGGTTAGCCAGGGAACGTTGATATCCGTATTATCTTCAGTAAACCAGAGTATTTTCTAGTTTTGTTATGTGCCTGTTATTTTCTATAGCGAGTACCATATACTGGGAATTTGGACTGGCACAGGGCATTCACTCATGGGAACATGCACCCCAAATCACATGGAGAGGTACCAAAAACAACATAAATCCCAAATAAATACGTGAGTGCCAAAGTATGAATATCATTAATAAAATTGTCCACCTGGCCAAAGTATGTATGTAGAGCAAAATAAATGCCTTCACAGGCCACAATTTTTAAGCCAATGGATTTATTTCATAGCTATGCCAGATCATAATTTATGGAATCTATTGTATGTTAGTTTGCAACTTCAAGCATTTAAAATTCTTTTCTGCATAACTACTTCTGTCATTCATTATCTAGTGCTTTCCTTTAGTCATGTGCCTGTCACATCACCTTCTTCTTCCTTAAAGCTCATTAAGTACTTTGGTTATGACCGTGCCAGCAATCCGGTGACCTACAATTTGTAATGGTTTCCTATCTGTTATTAGGAAGTAGGAACTTTACATCTCTCCTAGACGAGCAAGTTATAGTGTTACACCCTATGGCAAAAATTAATGGTCAAGCTAATATCTTCCCTTTAAAGCTTTAGATTTGCTCAATTCATTATGGCATTCTCTATCTCAACTCCTGACAGTAACCATAGCATTCTCTATCTCAACTCTTGACAACAACCCGAGAGCGACACATATTACTACGATTTTAGTGAGAATCTCTCAACATATAGTTGTCCCAACTTTGTGAGAATCTCCTGACAACAACCCGAGAGCTCATTGAGTTAGTTGTCTCAACTTTGTGAGAATCTCTCAACATATAATCTGATTTTTTGCATCTCAGCTGGTCCGCAGCTTGAGGATTGTGCCTAAAATTCACAAACCTGATTTTGGCATCTTTTCATGATGTTGAACTCTTACTGATAGAGTTGCCTTTTGTCTTCTTATTCATTCATATGTAATTTATTTAGGCAATCTTTGTTACCATCTTATATCTCATTGTGCGTAATCATTATATGGGACCAACAGATATATGCTTTTTGATCTTTATATTATTTCTACAAATGAGGCCATGTCTCTGTTCTGGAAGGATTTCCCTGTTTACATTTTTGCTCAAGTTCACCGCTGTTAATCATGTTTTTTCCATAGACCATATAGAAAGATTCCCAATTATTTACAATTTTCTGTGAGATTCTGGCTGTCATAACTTCGTTATTCTTTTCATGAGCTTGATAAACTTTCCTCTTGTGCTCTAATAATGTGTTTGAAGCTATCATTCTGTCAAGGTTTCATGTGCATTGTATTATACTCAAATGTGGTGTTATCAGAAAGTAAGATTTGAATTGTATAACACCAACAAGGGGATCTCAGTTAGACTTTATAATCTCTGATTATGGGCCTTGTAGCCGTTGTATGCTGGAAATAAACAGCCCCAATGAAAAACATGATAATTTATCTTTGATCTATTCTTTTGTATCTATGGATATACTCATAGGATTTGTGTCAATTTGTGTGTGACAGCTGTTGGTTTCTATCGTTGGAACATGCTGTAGTCCAATACTTTAAATTCATTTATCCATCACGTGCAAAAATCCAACACGATTTATTTGGTGCTTAGATTGTGCGGTTTGCTCCTACAATGCCTTGAAATTCTTAAAATGTTTCTCAAGTTGCTGCAGGAATCTTCAAAATTAATTTGAGAAAATTTTGTAAATCGAATATTCAATTGTCCAGTTGTTTCATTCTGTTGGTGCTTCATTGCCTACTTCTATCCTCATAATTTTGTTAGTGATAAGTTATCCGTTTTGTGGTTGTATTTGATGTGGTAATGTGGATTGATTAATGTGATGGCTTGTTTATTTTATTTTTAATTGCTATACGAGTCAAATTATATCTGTATGCTGAAGAGTTCATTTTCTTTCAGGAGGTGGACAAATTTCAGGACCTAGCAGAGGAGCTACAGCTCAGGGGCTTTGCTGGTATATGGAAGGTGACCTTTAGAATGACTTTTCTGGATATATCATTATAAAGTAGTTGGATCATTATTATAACATCTGAATAAGTTCTTTACGTGAACTTCTATATATCAGGCAACTAATGCTTTGTTCCCTTATGTAGCCTTCTTTGACGACTAAGTTTCCAGTACTCGGGAAAGTTTTGTTTGTCATGGATTCTTCCATGATTTGCTCATGTGTTTGGCTTATTAATTACCTTTCGTCTTTACTGTGTCTTTCCCCTTTATAACTCTGCACATGCCTTGGGTTATTTCATAACTCAGGCTATTTCATTAACTCGAAGCATGACATGTGTGGCATTTCTTTGCTCATTGAATAGGCTTGTTTTTGTCTTCTTCTTTTATTGGATAGATCAGTGGGGAAAGGGTCCCCTACCTGTGGTAGGGAGGAAAGTCAAGAAGTCATGTTGTGGCACCAGCCAACCTGACCAACTATTCCTTCCGTCCATTCCTAATAGGCTTGGCTTGGTCATTGAAATGCAATGGAATACTTGAATGACTATCTCTTGCTGCATTAGAATGTTAGAAGGCCCGAGCAATGGGATTGGTCCCGTGATAGATGGAGTCCAACCATTGAAAGCCAAAATTCTGCCTTGCTCAAATGCTTAGTCTGCCATTTTTCATGCAATCTTTGAGGGTTAATAGTTAGTTGAGATGAAATCTATGCTTCATAAAATACTTTTTATGTGCTTTTGCAGGAACGAACTGGCCTTCCAATCGATGGTTGTGCAATATTTTGGCGTTTGACAAAGTATGGAATCATTCCTTCTTTACATTTATCATTGCTTGCTCGTAGGACTATTAATTTATTCATCTTTATATGACAATAGTAGATCATCTACACACTTGTGACAATATATTATTATTGCTTAGACTTTTCTTCTCTTTTGATAGGACATTCCCTATTCCTTAGCGGCCCATTTGGATCCCTGCAAAAACATACCAGATAATATTGATTTTTTTTTTTTTTTATGGGGGTGGGTGTGTGTGTGTGTGGGTGGGGGG